TTTACTCGTTGGGTGACTACCGCGCATGAAAGGTCAAGCACTTATTGGACCACTGGCATAGAGGTCCCTAGAGGACAGGATACTAGAATTCGTGGACATGCCCAAAGAAAGACTACAGAGATGGTAACTCATTTTTCTCTCAATAAGGTTTTGGTACCAAATAACAAGTGTCTTTTTTTTTTCCTGACAACAGCCTGTCTCTACTGCACGTTATTCTAACGTGCGTCATCTAACTTATTTTATACTCAACCTCTATCTTATCTCACGTGCTTCTAACTTACTAACACTCAATATCTTGCTTTCTTTCACATAATTTCTTTACTTTTTCTATGCATAATTAATCTTCTTATATTACAGTAAAGTAATAATACTTAATGAAAAATCTCGCAACTCTAACTAAAAACTACCAAGGCCCTACTGGTGTATTAGCAATGAGTTTCAACCAATCCCAGTACATGATTGCAACTTTTTTCTATGCTAGTTAAGGTTAAAAAGACAAACAAGATATGATTGCAACAAGAAAGAGTGAAAACTAACTACTATAAAAACCAACACATCAATTTAGATAGTCTGTACGAAATACCTTGGTTATGGGAGTGTTAGAAGGTTTTGCTTCGAAGTAAAAATCAGGAAACCGTGTAACCTCAGTGGCATTCTCGAACAAAATATATGTAGGAAGTTGGCCAAGGTCCCCTACAAATAGAAGACCACTATATGAATCACTTACAAAAGTGAAGAACCAATAATGATCTCATATTAGCTTGATACTTGTCGAAACGAAAAAGCTTTTAGTATGTCATGAACATCAATAGCCATCTAAGAACAAGAAAGGGAGGGAGTATGTTGCTAAACAATCAATTACCAGCAAGCGATATTCCAAATTTTTCTGCAGCATTTGGAAAAAGTCCAAGATCAATTATTCCAAAAGATAAATTCTTGTTCGAGTACCTACATACAAAAACATTCATGCATAAAAATGAGGGCAAAAAAAAAAAACTAACAATAAGCCAGCTGAAATTATTTGGATAAGACAACATACGTAATTGAGAGCTCAGGAAAGCACCGACTTGCACGGATACATGTTGATGAAAAAGACGCACGAAATTCTACCTGCAAAATGTATTAGTCCATAATAAAACAATAAGCATGAATCTTATTAGAATACAGGGGGCAAGTTCTGCATGTCAACAATGCATAGAACCCTAAATGGAAAATGTCACAAGTTTAAATAGACATTCAACTGCAAGTC